TACATACATTTAAAATATGAAATGACCTATAATGAACTGAATAAACTCATGGGTTATAGTACAAACCAACTAATACACCTTAACTTTATATAAGTTCTATTATGAATAGTATTCTTCTTTTTCCTGTAGGTAACCATTATATCCCAACAGGAAAGAAAGATGCTCTGATCTGTGGGAAAAGTAGTGATGCTGGGTAAGCTATGTGTATTGAATTATTTCATAAACCTTGGCATTATCTTCCCTTCAAACATCATTCGCCAAGAGCAGTTACATGTTTTATGTTATGTTGCATGGTGAGTTTTTGACAATTGCTGTCTCACACGTGTTCATTTCAGGCAGTGTCCAGAAAATTATTTATGTATTAAAGCAACTCCCAATCCAGATTATGGTTACACAAGCTTTGATTCCTTTGGCTGGGCCTTCCTTTCCTTATTCAGACTGATGACTCAAGACTACTGGGAGAATCTTTACCAACAGGTGCGTGTTTTGTTTGTCTACGTAGAGGAAAACAAATTTGTATTATTATTTTTCTTTTTTGTAACACAAAAGATGTTTTGCAGACTGTTTGTGCAGTTTCTTCTCCGATCTGTTCTTCACAAAATCAGTCATATGATTTAGAATGTAGTCATATAGACTATTCTATGGTATTTTTATAGTGTTTTTTGTCATTTATAAAGTCCCCATCCACTTTCATTGTTAGGAAAAGAAGATAATCATGCTGGAATGACACAAATAGCTTCCTATGTTTATTCGACACTAATTGTGGATTTTTCTTGCAGACTCTTCGGGCCGCAGGAAAAAGCTACATGATTTTTTTCGTGCTGGTCATTTTCTTGGGATCCTTCTACCTGGTGAACCTGATCCTGGCTGTGGTTGCCATGGCATATGATGAACAAAATCAAGCCACTATTGATGAGGCTTTGAAGAAAGAGGAGGAGTTTAATGCCATGCTCCAGCAGCTGATGAGACAGGAGGAGGAAGCTCAGGTCTGTTGGGTGTTTTTATTAAAACGGGGTATGAATACCATGCACATGGTAGCGTACAGCGCCATCAATGCCAAAGTCACGGGTTTGATTCTTGGGAAAATGCATGCATCACTAGTAGAATGTATTCCTTCAAAGCATTTCAAATGCATGAATGTAAATGCTGTAAACCTTTACAAATTGTATAAGTATAATCTGTTGCATGATTGCTTGGCAGGCTGCGGCTGAAGCGTCCAAGTGTGATGGGCTCAGTGGAGAAAAGACAGACTCTTCCTCGGACGCCTCCAAACTCAGTTCCAAAAGTGCCAAAGAAAGACGCAACCGCAGGAAAAAGAGACAGCGTCAGGGGGAAGGTGAGAAAGAGGAGGATTCGAACATAGAGGGAAATGATAGAAAGGCCAGCTTCCGTTTTACAGCTGATGGAAAAATCCGGCGCTCACGTGAAAGGACTTGCACGTCTCCACATCAGGTTAGAAAAAAATCTCATCTGCTGTGTGGTTTTATCATTTGATGCTTATTTTACCAATAAGGAAATGTCATTTGCTTAAATATAGAAGACAACCGTCATATCAGTGTTTGTGAAATCAGAATAATTATGGAAATGTCTTATTGCTTACATGTGATATTATTACAGTTTTAGAATAGTACTGCAAAGACAAACTTTGACATTTTTTGATAAATGAAGAATGAGGTTTGAAAGGTGTACAGGAATGATAAATAGATGGGTCTAATTTACATATCTGATTCATGATTTAGAGATGATACTGAACATTAAATATATTATTGAT